ACATCCAGAGGACTTACTCAGTCTACAGCCTTCACTGCTGTGTTTCAAGCCAACCTCCTGTTGGAATTTCAAACGTAGGCTTTTAACACATGCAAAACACACCCATCCAAAACAATCAGTCATCATGTGCAACAATCAAATGTTTTAAGCTAGATGCCCAACTTGCTACTGACAGAAACAACCTGAGGACACCAAGGCCAAAGTGATTCTGAAAACAGGTTGTAAGCTAAATCGTCCACGTAGATAACAACAAAAAAGGTTAAATCGTGTCATCTGGACCAGTTTCTTTAGGTGAGAAACATTCAGTTTGTTGGTGGCTCCTCAGATTGAAGAAGTCCTTCGGATAAAAGACGAAATGTCTCGGCAAAAAAAAAGAAGCCGTCCCGGTGACCTGACTGAACATTGTTGAATTTTATACCTGGATTATTGAGCATGAACTTTTGTGTTTTGAACCATTTTGGCAAGGCTGCCTCAGAGGAGTTGACGGAGAAGAAGGCGGGCTCCAGAGACCATCTTATCACCAGCAAAATGCCTCAGCAGAAAAAAGAAACCATCCAGATGACCTGAATGAACATTGTTTAAGTGAGAAACATTTTGCCCCCAATCCAGAGGACTTATTCAGTTTACAGCCTGACAACCAGATCTGTCCCATAGGTAGCTTTTACTTCACTTTTTTTATTTTTACTCCACAACCACTGTCAGTGAATCATAATGTGCTTATAAGACTGACTGGATGATGATCTTTATATTTGGATTTTGTTTTTATGTCTATGTTTGGTTTACACATATTTATGTCCCAAACTGTTGTGCTTCAACAACGTATGAATTGATGAAATCAAAAACATCCAAGTGGATTGTTCAGACATTTTATTGTGGTGAAGGTAGTTTTAGGTTCATACTTGTCACTTTCTCTTTTGTCTGATTTTAGCATCACATTATATCATACATTGATTACTGTATGGAAGTCTGAGATTATGTGCCCTGTTCTGAGTACTACAATTTGGGGATTTCAGCAGATTATTTTCCATGCAGAATAGCCAAAATCAATACCTCAACAATCTTGTGACTACTTGCGAGATCACATTTTCTTCGTAAGCACTTCACCCTGTTTGCCATGTTTTGTCTTTATTTAGGGATGGTGTCATTACTGTCTCGTATTGCGGAACATTGCATCATCAAATTCTGAGATACAGACAGAAATCTTACTGGAAAGATTAAGGTGATTTATTTTTGTATTCTTTAGAAGTCTTAAAAAGAGTTCATCTTAGTCATTAATAGCTATTATGTATGGGGCGCTGTTGGTAAAGTTACACAGCCAAAAAATAACAGCAATATTTTGGTTTATTTAGCCTTTCATAAGAAAAAAAAAAGTTGTTGTTTTTTTCAGTCATATTTTAACCATGTTATTCATACATTTATAAAATGTCATAGTTCCAAGCTAATTATTTAATTTACAAGCTCAGTATTTAGTTTACAAACTAAATACTTCAGTTGCAAGTTAAATATTTATTTAGCAACTAAATATTTAGCTCCACACTAAATGTTTAATTTACAAACTAAATATTTAACTTGCAAGGTAAATATTTAGTTAGTGAACTAAATATTTGGATGTAAATTTAATATTTAATTTCCAAGCTAAATATTTGTTTTCAAAACTAAACATTTAATTTCTAAGCTAAACATTTAATTCCTAAACTAAATATTTAATTTGCTAACTAAATATTTAGCTCAGACCTAAATATTTATTTTCCAAGCTAAACATTTAATTTCCAAAATAAATATATAATTTGCTAACTAAATATTAGTTTGTAAACTAAATATTTAGCTTGTAAATTAAATATTTAGTTTGGAACCATGACATTGATAAATGTATGAATAACATAGTGAAAATATGACTTTGAAAAAAAAAACACTATTTTTTTCTTATGAAAGGCTATATAAACCAAACTATTGCTGTTAATTTTTGACTGTGTAACTTTACAAATGACACTCCATAATTATGGCCAGTGGTTTCCCCTCAGTCTCATCTTCTGCCACAAAGCAGAAATCTCCACTTTTTACATAGCAGTCCAGTCAATTCGGCCTGTTTCTATATCTAACCTACATCTCCAATTATTTACCCCTTTTTCTTTATATGTGGTCAGTGTTTTAGTTTTTGTCTGTTTTGTTTTGACTTTGTGGTTAAATGTAGTTCTACTTTTCTTAAAGTACATGTCATGGTTACTTTTTTTTATGCTTGAGTACCGGTAGTCATTAAACCAGTGCCTAATTATGGTGAATGCAAAAAGCCCACTCTGTCTCCCGATGTCTTGCTGCATGTGTCTGAAGTTATGAGTGCACATTACATAAAGGAGCAATTGGAGACCAACAAGTCCATGCTGGACTTTATATGTCTGTTCCACTGCTCTGCTAAATTAGATTGCTAAAATTAGAAACCTAATGGAATAGCACTCTACCCAACTCCCACCACCTGGCCTATAGTCACCAATTTAGATGGATCCTTGGACCCAGCTTGGGTTGTGCTGTCCAACCATTCTGGTACAAAAGCCTCAAAATAAAAGAATAAGCTGTGTAGTAACCCAATAAATGAGTATTGATCTCTCTGTGTACCTGAGACCATTACAACTACGTGCCTGGGAGTTAAACTTGAGGTATATTATAGGGCTTGAGGCTGACGCCATAATGTCATTAAGGCAATAGCAGCTGCTTACTGAAATCTAACCCACACAATGTATGTCATCTCAAGTTACATATGGCTTTTCAAATAAAACATTGCTTAATTGGAGAGGTAAACAAAAGCCAGCCTGGGTGTTATGAGCAGTGTTTTATTTTTATTTCCATCAAGGATAGTGGATGACCTTGTCTGATGGCTGAGTCAGAAGCAGCCTCTACAAGATTTAATCTATCAGTTCATATTTTTGTTTTCTGTTGTAAAATAGAATTAATCGCATCTATGCAGCAAAACAAAGTTATTTTTCTCATTTTCAGTCAGTGTAATCATTTTGTTTCCCAATTGGTTTATTATAGCAATGTGATGTTTTCTGTAAGTTTTTTCATCTAATGGACTCTGCTTCGTCTTTTAACTGAAGCAAAACAGAAAGGAACACTAAAAGTCTGACATTTTGCTTTTTACCGCAGGCGCCACTTTTTCCACCCTTGCTTTGTAAACCTTCCATGTCTGGATCGCCCCCAAAAGAACAGCACGTGACTCACATTTAATTTGCAAATCAGAGCTTCTTCGTTTAAATGAAAGTCACTACTTGTTTGGCGAAAATCACTTTTCAACTCAGTTTTTTTCAACCTGTCAAGAATAAAAACTTGAGAGAAATGTCTGTATTTTTGTAACTCTTATCTTCACACAGACACATTTGGCCCTTGTAAACCAATTAAGAGTTGTTCAGCTTTCATTAGTAACACGTTGCTGTATCATACGCCGTGTCAAATTTGCTTTGTAAAAAGTTTAACGCTGACTTTGTTGTCTTAAGAGGATTTTAAACTTGTCATCATAAATTATGGATTTTTAACAGGCCGTGTTTGTTTATTTTATTGCATTTTTTGCTGATTTTGCTTATTATGATGCTGCTCTTCAGTTTGTGTGCATGGACACATTTTTTTATTCCTATGGAGATATTGCTTCACTCTGTGTTTTCCTTTAACTGAGCAGCCTCGCACACAATAACATGGCTGATACATGTGTGAAATGGGAGAAAATATTGTCCGTATATGTGCATGAAACTAGTAGTGTGTGTTTGCAGCCTGGACAGCAGGGGGCCCTTTTAATAATATTTGTAGCAGTGTGTGCTCGGTGTCACAGACACTGCTGGCTACTGGGGTTATTTAACAACTCTGTGGGAGGTCCAGCATTCTAGACACAGGTGCACCACTTTGCTTCAAATGCCTTTCCCTGAAGATGAAATATTGTCAGAGAGCTATTGTCATTGTGAACAGTGTGAGATTGCTATGGTCTTTGTGTATAAGGTGGATAACGGTTTGGATAGATTGGGAGAAAGGGGTTGAGTGTTTTTACTTGTAGCAGGTTGTTGCTTTATTGTTTCACCCAAAGTAGCTTAGACGAGTCAGTTTTCCTCTGTGTAACTATCGTTTTCAAATGAGCTTTTTTACTGCTGCTTTTTTTTTTTTTTTTTTTTTTTTTTACTAATCATGGTTTTCAGGTTATTTAATAGTTTTGTGCATAAAGTCCTTTTTGCCAATCTTTTTAAAACGATCAGCACAAAGAATTTGGAAATTGCCAAATACCAAAACATTTTGGTATACTAATCCCCCCCCCCCACACAAAAAAAAATATATTTTTTTTTTTAAATAAATAAAAATAAAAGTAAAAATTCAAGATCCTCAGAGGTTGGTTCTTCTTGAGGGAAAAGGCTGAGTGGCATTTTAACAAAAATGCACTACGTTTTAAGGCTGGAAAATGCATCAAAGAGCAGCATTTGCTTTTGTATAAAATTCCCTCGTGTGATTACATTTGATTTTACTGTGAAAAGCCCCGGCCATTTATACACCCAATAGGTAGTTTCAGAAAATATGTTTTGTAGAATTGGCATCAATAGAAAAACATATTGCCAGTATGACAGTAAGGTGTCTCTACAGTTTGCTGGATGTCATGAGAAACAAGTGTTGATTGCAAACTCTCTCCTTCTTTCCCCTGTAGCCCATATAACTTGTTGAGTTAGATGTCCAGTTATGATAATAATATATGGCTAGATATAAATTCAGTATGCAAACGTATTGTTCTAAATCTTGTTATAAATTATAATGAATAAAGAAAAAACTGTTACAAAAGACATTTGTCAGACAAGCTTAGCTATCTTGTTAGAAAAGAAGAATAGCTTCACCTACTGGTGATCTGAAGGGTTTGCAAGTGTACTCATTTATTCTTTTTATTTTATTTCTCTTTATCCTTCTATCACCCCCTTTTCCCCTCCTTGCTTCTTCCTTATACTCCCTTTGTTCCCTCTTTACTTTTCTATCATTCTATTCAGAATATGCCAGAACACAACAATGAGCTCCAACAGCACAGACCCTGGTCTTCTTTTGACTACCTACCCCTCGCCGCCAGTGGCCGGAGCCTATCCACAATCCAATGCTCTTCATAGAGGAGATTTTGAAGAAACCTCATGGTCGGGTTTTTATCCCAATGCTGCTGCTGATAACTCATCCTTCAGCAACACGTCACAAATTAGCAATGTAACAAGAGTCCTTGATCCCCTGGGTGGCCACCCTGTGTGGCAAGTTGTCCTCATTGTCTTGCTGACAGGCACACTGTCTCTGGTCACCATTATTGGCAATATGCTGGTGGTGGTGTCCTTCAAGGTTAATCGCCAGTTAAAGACAGTCAATAACTACTTCCTTTTGAGCTTGGCTGTGGCTGACCTCATCATAGGGATCATTTCTATGAACCTTTACACACCTTATCTCATAATGGGCTACTGGGCCATGGGAACCTGGGCCTGTGACCTCTGGTTGGCTATTGACTATGTTGCAAGCAATGCATCAGTTATGAACCTTCTAGTCATCAGCTTTGATCGCTACTTTTCAATAACAAGGCCTTTGACCTACAGGGCCAAACGAACCACAAAGCGAGCAGGAATCATGATTGGATTAGCCTGGCTTGTTTCTCTAGTTCTGTGGGCCCCTGCCATCCTGCTGTGGCAGTACTTTGTAGGTAAAAGAACAGTGCCCTCAAGTGAATGCTATATCCAGTTCCTCTCAGAGCCGATTACAACCTTCTGCACAGCTATGGCAGCGTTCTACCTGCCTGTGACAATAATGAGTATTCTCTACTGGCGCATTTACAAGGAGACCCAAAATCGTACAAAAGAATTAGCCGAGTTGCAGGGGTCTGGAAGTCATGGTGGGACAGGAAAAACCGTTGGAAATATGGGGAGTGACAGAACTCGTTTTGTGCATCACAAAGGAAGTTCCAGAAATTGCAGTAGCTTTGAGCTGACCAGATCATCAAGGAGAAGGAGTACATGTCAGGAGCTTGTTGGACGATTCCATTGCTGGCCGGGGGTTCGTTCCTGGAGACCTGGTAGTATCCGTCAGGGAGATGGTGATCCAGACCAGAGCAGCAGTGACAGCTGGAACAACAATGATGCTGCAGTCTCTTTGGATCACTCTGGGTCCTCAGAGGATGAGGACTGTGGTGGAAAAGACATGATTTCCCAGAGTCATGCCATTTTTTCCATTGTTCTTAGCCTCCCTGGCATTAGAGCTGCTGTCAACTCTCAACTTACCTCATGTGAAGATCTGGATGCAGCATCAGAAGAAGATCCACTGAGGGCAGCTGAGTACAACCGGAACAGCTTGTCAACAGTTAGCACCACTACCACTACTCCCATTACACCTGAGTGCACAAACAGTACAGAAAACAGCTACAAGCAACGCTACTGCTCACACAAGACCCAATCAATGTCTAGCATTCAGTCTAAGTCTAACCAAGGGCTTCTTGATGGTACCCCAATAGCCACTGCCAACGACAACACTACTGGTAGCACAGCCTCTAAGTCCTCTTCCATCCCACTGTCTTTTAAAGAAGCAGCTATGGCAAAGCGTTTTGCAGCTCGAACCCGAACTCAGATCACCAAGAGAAAACGTATGTCTCTGGTGAAGGAGAAGAAAGCAGCTCAAACTCTCAGTGCCATCCTCTTAGCTTTCCTCATAACATGGACACCTTACAACATCATGGTGCTGATCAATGCCTTCTGCAAAACTTCTTGCATCCCAGAGACTCTGTGGGCAGTGGGATACTGGTTATGCTATGTCAATAGCACAGTGAACCCTATGTGCTATGCACTGTGTAACAAAACATTCCGTACAACATTTAAGATGATACTGTTGTGCCGCTGGGATCAGAAGAAAAGAAGAAAACTGCAGTTCCAGCAGAGGCAGTCGGTGGTCTTCCACAGGGGGATCCCCAGGGAGTCTACATGAATGACTGAAAGTTCAGATGTCTTACAAAATTTAAAAAATGAACACACTATTGACACAAAGGAGTCTCCATGTTGTTGCTTTTTCTGTGGAGTTTCTTTGTTTAGAGATCCGTAATGTCCTTCTCTGCTGTTATGATGATTTACAGCAACACTATGTGCTGGTCTTGCAGTGTGTAATGTCAGTGCATTTACTGTGGCAAAAGGAAATGTACATGTGTGTGGAGGCTTGTCAAGGGTGAAGTGCAGACATGAAAAAGCTTTTTCTTTTTCCTTGGAGAACTCTACCACTTCACATGAGTGTGACAAAGAGAAAATGAGTGGAAAATAACTGTAAAGGGCTTTTAAAATGCATTGCAGGAGATATACTGAAGTGCAATTGACACAAATTTTAAGCATGTCTATGTCACGGGTTGGGGATTCATGGTTATTATTTTTTCTTGATGGGTAGCTAGATTTGTATTATGTATTTGGTTTTTTTTTGTTTTGTTTTTTTCAAAACAAAATTGTTTTTGTAATTTGTTTCTTAGAGCCAAGATAAAAGAAAAAAGTGAGGAAGTGTAATGTGTTTTTTATCAGAACTTTTGTGGGTTACCTTTCTACATGGATCGAACTCTCCTGTGCATTATGGACTATAAAAACTGAGTTCTAACTTTCAGTCCACAGAGACCTGTTATTTTTGTGATATTCATCTTTGATTTTATAGGTACTTCAGAGCTTTTGAGCCAGTTTTGAAAAAAGATCTCCTTTTGATGAAGTGAGTTGTGAATAGTCTGTGTGGCACCACAGTCAGTGAACTGCTGTTGTGTTTAATGTGGTTGTTGTGGTTATTATGGTGGACAAAATGAGTACATTGGTTGTGTTTTCTGTGCTTGCAGTTTCCTGTCAAAAACAATGATTATAAAATGATGATATCATGTACCTTTGGATATGTTTGAACTATTGCATCAAGATTGCTTGCACACACAAAAATTGTTGATTTTTAAAGACTTGTGTTTTGATTTTATCCCAACTTTTAAATTTCTACAAAATGATTCAAGAAATGTTTGGGTTTTTTTTTTTTTTAGAATGGAAACCATCTTTGATACAGAAGACAAATTGTGGCCTCTAGTGGCTTAAACAAAGAAGTGTTGCCTGAAGTGAAAATTTTCCATCTATACAATTCAGAGCCAAAATTCTGAATAAAATACAAAACATTCTTTAAATAATTCAAATATCTTTTTCTCTCACATTATTTATTTAAAAAAGGTTATCATTTGTGTTTGTCATGTAAACCAACAGCCATAAATCAAGGTATTATATTTGTGATTTTGCTATTTTTGGTTTATTTCTGATATAATTATTTGTTTCTTTTTTTTTTAAATCTGACATATAATGTGTATATACAGTTGACACATGTTTTGAAATACAGTGTCGTTTTGTTTTTTATTATAAAAAAATTGCAATCCCAAACCCACCATTAACAGCCAATCAATTTTTTTATTTATTCAAATAATATTTCAAATGAACATAATGTTTTTCATGTTTTGCAGTATTGCTACACTCAACGGTGTCAGTATTTCTACTGTGCAAAACATCCTGAAGTCAAAGAAAAGTTGTAATTTATCCTAAAGCGTATAAAAACAAATATTTGACAGTGGTAAATGAGGTGGTCAAAATAATGATATGACTTTAAACTTTATGGAATGTGGGGTGGGGGATTCTGTTTGCCGCAGGGATTCAGAAAATCTTCAAATTCCTTTTGTTTTTTTACAACTTTGATTTGTTACAGCTTGATCCCATATCATCGAATAGTTATTTCTATTTAAAAAAATGCATTTGATTCCTTATAATGACTAAGTGAAAACAGATTAAACAGTATTTTGTAACTTTAAAAGAAAAGTATTATGTTTACAAGGTATGTATCGGGCGTGTTATAACTCTTGCCATGTAGTTCAAAAGTCTCCCATTGTTTTTGTCACTGGTTGCATATTTTCACACCTTGATCAGAGTCCACCAATAATAAATTAAATTTATTTGACATAATCTGGAATGGCACACACCTCTCTATGGATGACCTGAAGGTACACGGCAGAGCAGAACCCTAGCAATATGGTCAAAGGAATCACCTGCAGAGCTTGGAGACAGTTTGGACTGTTGCAAAGCACAGATCTGGGAAAAGCTACAGAAATATTTAACACAGTCAGCTCCATACTTTTTAAACATACATTTGGCACAAGAGCTGGTTGCCCAGTCACACTGAGCAACCAAGAAAGGCTTTAATGTGACTGGTGACCAAAACCCTATTGGTCAAATTCCAGAAGTGCAACCATGACTGTAGACCTCTTGGGTCTATGACAGAACGGCTAGAAGCCTCTTCCCGGTGCAGAACACTTGATGCCTAAATGCTTCTCAAACTGTGAGAGGAAAAGATTCACTAGTTTGATTAAATGAAATTTGAACGGTGTGGCTTTTAATTTAAATAGTATGTCCAACACCATCCCTAAAGTGAAGCATGGTGGTAGCAGCATCATACTGTGGGGTCAGTTTTCAGCAACAAAGACAAGTAGACTGGTCCATAGAAAGCTATTCTACAGTGCACAGGACCTCAAACCAGGCCATAAGGCTTATCTTCTATGACATTGACCCAAATAACTCGGTAAAGACAACACAGGACGGCTTCAGGTCAACTCTGTAAATAAAAAGTGGCTCAGCCATGTGAACCCCAAAGAACATCTCTGAAGCTACACCGACGGTCATCATCCAGTCTGACTGAGCTTGAGAGGATTTCCAAAGAAGAGTGACAGAAAATCCCTCAGTCCAGATCTGCAACTTTGTTCCAAAACTCTGTATTTGTTGCTAACAGTGATTTCACTTGGTACTACTTAAAGGGGTTAAACACTAGATAAACGTAATCTTCTGTTGTTGTTTTTCTTCTCAGTTCATTCAACCTTTATTTGTACAGGTTAGTCCCATTGAGCCTCGGGGACTCGTTTACAAGAGAGACCTGTTTTTAAAAAAGAATGACAACAACAGTACACAATCATAAAAGAAAGCATGTAAATTGAGACGAACAAATAAAAGAAAATGGTATTTTTAAAAAAACGAGACAAAAAATACATTTACATTGCATAAAACTCTGTTTTCACTTTGTTATTATGTGGCGCTGAGTGTAGGTTTTGGGAAACAAATGAATTTAAAACAACATGATTAGGCTGCAACATGAGAAGTGACAGGAGTCTGAAGTATTTTCTGAATGCACCATATTTCATATTTTAAACACAGTGTGCTCCGGTATCATAATACATAATCAAACTGTTTATCTACCTAAATTTATTTCTTTTCAAGTATGCCTATCGTTTGCTTATTTTAAAGTCAATAAATTAAAAAAAAAAAAGTTTTTTGTGTGTCACAAGATTGTTTAAACCTTTTGCTCTTTTTATTGTTTTCATCTCTTCACACAGGTAAAATTAAAGTAAGTAATTATGATAGTTGCTCTTTCTCGTTCACAGCTGAAGCTCTGAGCACTCAAAACAAAAAGATTTGGTGAAAACTATTTTTCAAGTCATAAAAATGAATATAAAAAGTTTAAGCCTATATGTTGTTGAGTTAGGAAGTTATTTTATTTTTATTGCCACCAAATGATGGCATATTTTTTACACTAACTTTAAAAGTTAACGCTTTTGAGTATGTTGTTTTTAATTTTTGTTGTAAAGCATTTTGACATGCTTCTCATGAGCAAACTGAAATTTAAATACAGTTTGGACAGCTAAAGTGAATGTCTGGGACTGCAAGACCGCCTGTATCTTCTTTTATGATCTGACAACATTAGCTCTACGTGTGAGGATTTAAAATCTGTTCAAGAATATTGCATTATATTGCAACATGGATTTGTTTGCACAATACTCAAAACCAATGCATTTTTATTGTTTTCAAATTTACTAAATTACTAAAATTCTGGAAAAAAGGGGGAAAACTGGAGTCAGTGAGAAGAAAATGTGGAGCACATTTTACAAATAAAAAACTTTTTTTTTTATTTTGCTTCGAGACTTTTAATACATAAAACTGCTTCTTGGGACACTAACATTTTTAATGCACTTTCTGTTATTTTAATAGTACAAACTTATTGTCACATCTATGAAATTGAATGAGAACTTTTCACAGTAAAGGGACTTTGCACAAATATATATATATATGTTTATGATGTTAAAAGTTTTATTTGTTTATTATGCAAATAAATACATTGTAATTCTTCAAGGAACCACAATCCTTTTTTGTATGATTGCATTAATTATATTCACCCCCCAAAAACTGTTGTTAATTTTTATTTATTCTTTTTTTATCATTTTTGCATTGTTCTTGCTGTGGCTCCAGCTCAGAAGCTGCAGCTGGAACTCATTTCCCAATTGGAAGGAAGAACTTGAAAGTAGCTCCAGTTCTACCAGTTTTCTTTTATAACAGAAAGGAGTGATTTAAACACTTTACATGTATGAGCCCCATGTTATCGGTCAGCATTCAAACTGATGTACTGAGTATCTGAATAAACATAAGAGTGGTCTTTTACTTTTACACACCTTCCCTTGATAAGGCCTGATGAAGTCAGTGAGGGAAATCATAGATGATATTCAACAGAATATGACCGTGGAGACTGAGCATGTGACGAGGAAACTATCAACTTCATGTGACCCATGGTTAAGGAGTGGCTCACAGACAAACACCCAATTGTGTTGTTTTCCTCAGACAGCACTAAACCAGCAAGAGCCCACCCGTCAGGCAAGTACATCTCGACTTAAAATGTTTAAAACCTCTAAAGCAGAAACGTATTCAGGGATTCATCACTTTTTTTTTGTTTAACTATACAGAAGAAAATATTGAGTCTTAATAAAATGAATGATTTTAACTTGCTTGAGTGAAAGTAATGTGATTGTAGCCATGAGTTTAGATTTTAAATCACTGGTTATTTGTGTATGTGTGCAAGACTAATCTTTTTTGTGCAAGTAGTATTTATTCTTATAGGACACAAACAAAAACTGTTGATAATTATCTGTGAGTGGCTCCGTTTTTTTTTAAGCTCCACAAAGTATATCTGTCATCAGGCACGCAATGATTCCGAATCAAATTATTATTTTTTTTTTTTTTGGCTGTTACAAACAAAACATTTTACAACAACACGTCTTTGACTGTAAATGGTAAAATGAAATAAAGGAAAGGAAAGTATTTAATATTGGCAACCTAATTTAAAGACACCTTAGTACTTTAAAGTTCCATTATTTAAGTTTTTTTGTCTTTTGAAGCTCATTGATGCTTCAACAAGTTAACTTTAAGTCACTTATGGGTGCTAAAAATTGATTTAGTTCATGTTTCTTTATATTTGTGCAAAGTGTGTCAGCATTCGTTTCTAGTTTTAAACCATTAATGTTTTACTTAATGTTGTGACAACAAGATGGTTTGTAGTTATTTATTTAATTGTTTATGGAAGAGCTTACAAAGTATGAACAGTCATTGATGCTGCAAATGTTTAAAGATGGGCTTAGGTTTCTATAGCCCATACTCACCTGGCAATTAACTAATCGCCCCACATCTCTCAAAAAGTGGAGTTGTTTTCAGTGTTACATCTTGTTTAGTTTTTTTTTTTTCCCTAAACTGAAAGGACACCTACAAACTAAGCTGAATAATTTCAATATTTTTACTAAAACTTGCATTTTAACCCTTAAAAAAAGTAAAGGAAACCATACGAAAAACGTTGAGCCCCAAACTAGAAATGCATGCATATTCATATTTGACTGTACCGGTAGTTGAACCTGTGTCTTTCCGATCACAGGCCCATCTTCTCTAACCGCTGTTCCACCACTCCCCTATATATAAGAATGTGTCAGAGCCTCTGGGTGGATTCTTCTTTGTTGAAATGTTTCATCTTTTATACAAAAGACTTCAATTCAGAAGAAGATGTCTGAAGAAGTCTTTTTGCACAAAAGACGAAATGTTTCAACAAAGAAGACTCCATCCAGAGCCTGACTCGACCTTATTATACTTAGAATATGAAGTACCGTACTACGTAAGTCTGAACAATAGAAGAGAATAACATTTCTTACACTTAGCTATTCAAAAACTGAATCAGAAAGTAAATTAATGTGATTTGACATCTTCCTTTGCCACAGATTGCACAGGCCAGCTCCCTTTTGGATGAATTCAAACAGTTCATAATGCACAGTATTCAGACAGTGGAGACTCAAGTTCCTGTTCTTAAAGAGAGTTTCTTCACCAGCACCTTCAAAGGCAGGAGGAAGAGCAGTGTCACCCACATCCTGCATAAACAGAACATAAACTCACTTTTTAATCAACAACAGTGCATTCTAGAGAATCAACAGCAGAGCCCTAAGCAGTTTCATCCCAGTAGGATTGAAAATGGAGCCGGACAGCAAACTCCAGAGCGCCAGCGGCTTGCTCGCTCTATCAGCATCCCGTTATGCAAGACGGCCGAGTCTGCGCAAGCAGATGGGAACAGGAAGGAGGGGCCAAACGAGAGAGAGGATCAGAGGATGAGTGAGGCTGTGCAAGGGAGGAGGGGAGAGCCCGTAACTGTCAGTGCCAGTCTCCTCCTCCTTTCATCATCAGCATCAGCAGTGCTGGGGGAGCCAGCATCATCCTCACGGCTGCTTTCAACTGTGCAGAGCAGACGGCAGGGACTAGCTAGCTCCAAGAGAGCTTTGTCCAACCAGGAACCAGCAGCAGCTCAGGAGGAAACCCAGACGTTTCAGTCTCGATCCCACCAGCATGGCCTTATAGCCAAGGGTGTTCGCCTACTTAGGAGCATGGGGAACCAGGAAACCAAGCAGAAGAAAGGAGGTGGAAATGTTGGAGTAGCAGGGGATGTTTTCTGTCAGGATGAGGCTGAAGAAAGAGAAGTGGATAAACAATCTAAAAAGTCCAGTAACAAGATGGGTAAAAAAGGAGAACATAGTAAGAAGAAATTAAAGGCAGAATCGAAAGGTTCTGTGTTTTCTGGCATGAAAATAAGGAAAAGTTTATCCAAAGTGAAAGGTTTGTCTAAGGATGGTATGTTGGAAGATGGAAGATCAGCACATGTTGACAAGGATGAGTCCAAGCCTGGCACAGAGGCAAGCCTGTCCCCTGATGAGATGCTATCAGATTTTGAAGGGGATCTAAGTAATTTGAATACAGAAAGTTGCCAGTCCATGGAGGACTTTGTCAGAAAAACGAGCTCTGGATCTGATGCTGACTTGTACAGTTTCCACTCGGCAGCAGAGACTGCCGATCTTCTTTCTGACATCCAGCAAGCCATTCAGGACCAAGGTATAGCCAGTGACAAGATACTAGAAATGGTGCCAAAATCTTTATCTGAAGGGCTGACCTCTGAGGTGAGTGAAGTTCCTAAGACAGTACTATCTCTCAAGTTATTTAATCAAGATAAGGGGATATTATCTCCATCTGCTGGTAATGTTGATAGAAAACAAGAGAATGAAACGATTGACTTGACTATATCAAGAAAGTCATCCAGTGAGAGTGGTCCACCATCTTCTACTATGGACACAGAAAGAAGCATTGGCAGCATGTTTCCAAGAACAAACAGCACGTACAGCTTTCAGGACACGACTGCCACCAGTACTTCATATGAGAGTGCTGAAGAGCCCCAGGATGAACTGGACAGTCCAGATCAGCGTCCACAAAGTCAACATAATTGTGTAACACAAGTCACAAAGCCATGTGTGCCATCTGTCCATTTGGATCTTGTTCTGACAAGGACACCAACTAGGACACCCAAGAGGACAAATAGTATGGACTTTTCTATAGAGAGGGATGAATACGACAGTGTGAAACATGATTTCCGGTCCCTTACACGAAGAAAGAGTAGCATGTCAATCAGCTATTTGACAGCAGACAATCCAGATGCTTCCCTGCCTAGAAGACCATCTGCCAGCTCCCCCTCCACTGTCAAACTCTACCCTCCAGTCCATCCTTCTTACGTTAAAACCACAACTAGGCAACTCACCTCTCCAGTTGGTTCCCCGCTTACAAGCCCCAATGTTCTAAGGAAAACGGATGCCATCAGTGATGCTTTGGAGTCCAGTAAAACTGAAGAGACTGGAAAGCGGAAGCAGAGGTCTTCGTCTATTGGTGGACTTTCTGCAGACCTAGAAGTGCAGGAAAAAGCCCACACTGGTGTGGCTAAAGTCCCAGGGCAAGATACCTTAGAGAAGAGTTTCACAGGTGGGACTTATTGGACACTGGGTTCCAAGAGAGCTCATGGAAGGAAGGCTTCCACTTCAACAGGAGCCTATCTGGATGTATTCAATGGTGAGTCCTTTTTTAATGCCTTATGACTAAAAACAGCAACATGTTCCAATGGCAAACTGCACATCTATTAGCCATTCTGAACAATGAATTGAATGAACTTAAAAGGTCAAAACACATCCACTTTCTTTATTTTACTTAAAACAAAAACAAACCTTAGTTTAATCATTTATAGTGGTCTTGATCAAACATTTCTAAACTTTCTGAAGGTCTTTCTAAGTTTTTCTTTGAACCTTTCCTGCTTTTTGACTGATTTTCAAGCGTTGTGCCTGATCATATCAATGTTTTGGGATGCGTTTTTTTTTAAGAACAAGTGAGGTACACAAATGAGTAAAGAAAACAAACCAAAGAAATTGCTTTAATCATTAAAAAAAATCATAATTTCTAGCAAAAGGACAGCATAAGCTATTTCTCAAAGATCTGACCCACAACCTGAGAGATGCATAATCCTTCAGTTGATCATTTTCCAGATGACAAGTTTTCAGCTATTTGCTCTTTGGGAATCTCCTTGTTGTATTAAAATACTGTTTTAAGTATATTAAACTGTGTTGTCTTTGACAGATTTTCAACAATTTTAATAGAGAAATAGGAACATTGTCTTTGACAGGCTGCTGGGAACAATCTCTAAACATCCACTTTAAATGTGGAGTTTTGAGTAGGTTTTTTTATTTTATTTTATTAAGCATTTCGTTATGTTTTGACACATTAGTTTATCTCTTTGAAGACACCCATGAATAAGACAAGTGGCATATAAAAAAAACATTATTTCAAAATGGTCTGAGGCTACAGAAGAAACAGCTGAACTATTAAAGACTTTGAAGCCTGGAGAACTGTTGTGCAAGACTGCTTTAATTATCAGGAAGTTTGGTTCTTAACTTTTGCCCTCTACTTTATTTGGGTGGGGGAAAAAAAAGAAAATTATTTATTTCTACTAAACAATATGTTCTTTGGAAGGAATAATAGTTTTAAAACTTGCTTAATGTTTTTTTTTACATCAAAGCATGCTATTGAATTAATTAGCATGTATTAGGAGTCATAGTTTTTCATAAAATGCCTGACAATAGAAATCCTAGTGAGTGAAGACTTTTTTTATTGTGGTACGTTCATCAACATTTAGGTTTTTAGACTCTATGCAAGGCAAAGTAGGTCAAATTAAATAAATTAAATTACCGCATTTTTCACTGTATAAGTCAGTTTTTTTTGCATGCCCTGCGACTTATACGCCGAAGCAACATATTAATGGATTTTTCATATTTATAAACCCTTTTTTGGCTGAGATATGACCGTTTTCATTCATTCAGACTGAACATATTGTACACTACCATTTTCAGCCACTAGATGGCACTCGAGTAGTATGGCATGCCGTTGTATCATGTATTAGGTAAAAGTGGCTGTTGGTGACACAATCGGCTTGCCATAGCCTGCCACAGTCTTCCAACTCGCTTGGCGCAACTGTTAAATCAGCTTCATTTCGCTGCACCACCCCAGCAAAATGCAGCTAATTTGACAAATAAAGTGCATTTATTAAGTAAAAGTTCAACTGAGACACAACTTTGCTATAATGTCGAGCAAACAAATACCATACCACTTTATTTATAAAGCACTTAAAACAGCGACAAGGCCAACCAAAGTGCTGTACAGACAGAACAACAGGTAACACACAAAGCAATATACAAAATGAGGTAAATCAGAATATAGACATAAAAAACGATGCAGATAATGATGACAAACCAGTGTGGAGCATACAAGATCAAAACACAGATCCTCTGGTGTTGAAAGCCACCAAATAGTAGTGGGTTCAAATAATTGTTTTAGGTGCTTATTTGTTAAATTTTGAAGAAATGCACAGCGTTCCTCCTTTTTTCCCTCCCTGTCTGCGTGCTCCCGAAGCACCGAATACTTTTGAAATACAACAGATATGACCGTCAAAGTGCATTTATTAAGCAAAAGTTAGACTGAGACACACCTTTTCTTATAATTTCAAGCAAACAAATAATTGTTTTTAAGTGTTAATCTTGTTAAAGTCCTCCCATGCACGCACCCATGGCCGCCATTTGGCAGCCCATCGATTTTTGGCACAACACCAGCCCACATTTCCGGGTTGTCAGCGGTGATGCGTAACAAACGCTTCACATCAGCGGTGCCGAATAATAGATCCTATGTATACAGCGAAGCGACATATTTATGGATTTTTCACTTTATTAGACGTATTTGGACTGATGCGATTTATAGGGTGGTGCGACATTTACAGCGAAAAATACGGTACCAAGAAGGCTAGAAGTCTAAATACTCAGTTATACTCAGTTTTCAGTCAGTAAAACCTCAAACTAATTAGGAAAAAGTTGCTTGCTGATGTGAATTTTATTGACTTAAAATGATGCAAATATTTATAACGAGAATTGTGATTTAAAAGAAATGTTTAATTAAAAAAAAACTGATTCTTTAGGAAGACTGAAGATGTGTGTTGTAAACTAGAAGAGAATTGTAATTTAGTGGAATTTTAGTGGAGCAATGCCATTTTACCCTTTCTTTTTACTTTGGCTGTTCAGTAAGTCAGCTATTTTTTCAAGCTCATGATTCCACATATTTTAATATAAAAATACTCCCCTCCACCCTTCACACACACATCAGTGTGCTATTGGGGAAGCAAAACACATATAACCTTTTATCTGCAACAGACAAACATGGAATCAATTTGAATTTAATCAATTGGATTGGTTTCAAACAATAAAGGCACTTAACTGTTTAAATCCACATTGAAATGTGAATTTCCCTTTGCATAGGGCATGATCAGTCATGCTTTTATAGGACACAGTCACATAAAATTTCACCACATCCAAGAATATGATCAACCAAGTGATTTTTTTTTTCAGGTCACGGTTAGCTCTGTGAGGTAGACTGGAAAGGCACAGAAATTTAATTTTACTGTCAAACAGAGTACAAAAATAACAACTATTCACTGAATGAATAAAATCTATTTGAAAGTGAAAACTTGAATTTAAAAAAAAAAAAATCAATAATTAACTCGAGTCTTGTTGAACAAGTCCAAATTATTTGAATCCGTGACAGGATCTCATCATGAGACTTTAAATTAATGCTGTTCTCCAAATCATATTAGAAAGCTTATGGCAAGAAAGGGAATTGAATCATTCTATCATTTTAGTCATAACATGATCATTACTTTTGTAAAAAATATATCCATATTTGCACTCCTAGGTAAAATTAGTTCCACTATGTGGCAACTTAAGTGTCATAAACTGATGTTTGAATCTCACAGTTAACACCTTCTTTATTCATCTGCATGAAAATGTGTTCACACGTGTAGGTGTTTAATTATCACTTCTAAATCTGAAGCATGCAAAACTCAGATTAGACGATCACACCGTGTCACATTGACTATTTTAAATAACCACCACAAGTGAAAATGAGCTATATGAAAATGATTCAAGTCTTAAACAGATAAATGCTCCTCTCTCATTCTGTTGTCAGGTCGCACTCTGTTAGACAGGCTTTGTCTGGGTCGTGGTGATGGGTCTGCAGAGGAGGAGGCAAAGGAACTGTGTCACCGAATGCTGAGCCATGGTCTGCTGCACCCGTTCAGTGACAGCACTACCGAACATCACAGTGACGGGACCGTCTCAGCCATCTTCAGTGTAAGACACTGGTCTTCACAATCTTTTCTTTTGTTTTATAAAAGTCATGGCACATGTTTCAGATTGGCTAAAAAGGTTTGAATTTTGCAGAGGAGCTGATTGTGTAATGCCAATTTTTTGAGCAGCCTAGTGAACATTTTAGGTCAGATGACCTTCTCTGGGTGCATTCACATTTATGCATCCACACACTTTTAAAACCGTCCCTGATTTTGAAAATTGCAGCCACAATGTGACGGAATTAATTTTAAGGATTCAAAAGGATGCATCTTGCCAGAAAGAACTGATTTCTTGTCCTTTTTTTACAAAATGGTACAATATGAGTTAAAGCATAAGGGACTGTGTTCATAAAACAAAATGAATTTTAACCTAAAAAAAACCAAAAAACAATTTGCAGTTATATCATAGGTTTAATAGTGCAAAGATAATTCAACAATGTGATTGTGGCTCATGCTTGACAGAATTTAATTTAATTTCCTAAACAGCAATGGTGCATGTGAATCCATGTGAGAGTTCATTTTATGACTTCTTTATTGCAATCATTCATTGACCAAACCTGATCACAAAGGCAATACAATCACCTGCTTAGTTAGCCAGTGCCATTTTCAGAAACGATTATCAAGTTTCCTGATTTATTTACCTAATTTAATTAATCTAAAGCCACTCCTAAATGAGGACAGTCTACAAAAAATAAAAATGGACACGTTTTTTCCTATATATAGGAAAAATGTGTATACAAAATTTTTGTAGCTCACCTTCTCTTCCACATTGGTGGCTCTACTTCACTTCAAAATCCCGGGTCGTCTACGAGAGGATTGGGAGTTTGAGGGTTCTGCCCAGTCTCTTAGCTGTTCCTAGAGCTGCTCTCTTCTGGACAGAGATCTCAGGTTGTTCCTGGGATTTGTTTGAGCCAGTCTTCCAGTTTGGGGGTCACAGCTCCAAGTGCTCCAGTGACCACTGGGACTACTGATGCCTTGACTCTCCACAACTTCTGTATTTCCACTTTCAGCCCTCTGGTATTTCTCCAGCTTCTCATGCTCCTTCTTTTTAAAGTTACACTCACTTCGGATTGCTCAATCTATCACCACTGTCGCCTAGCTTGTCAAACACCACAATGTCCAGTTGGTTAGCCATCACCTGTTAGTCTGGATCTGGAAGTCCCACAGTATCATAGCCCTGTCATTCTCCACCACCACTGGTGTTGTCTCCTACTTTTACTGTGGGACCTCCAGTCCATACTCAGCACAAATGTTCCTGTATAATATTCCAGCCACTTGGTTATGGCGTTCCATGTATTCTTCACCAGTCTGTACCTTACATCTTATGTGTTGGACTGTCTCAGAAACATCGTTGCACAGCTTGCATCTTGAGTCTTGACTGATATGGTAGATACCGGCCTCTGTTGCTCTTGTGCTGCTATGATTAGTGACTCTGTGCTGTCCATCAGTCCAGCCCTTTCTAGCCACTGGTAGGATTTGTTGATACATATTTAATATTGTTCCTTTTTGGGACACTATTTGTAATGTTCATTTAGTGGGAGACATCAATGTTCTTTTTCTTTCAAATTATTTTATTTTAACAATTTTTAGATTTTTATCAACACATCAAATTTATAAAATGTTGTGCATATTTCCCCTCATGTTTTAATGTGACGACTATACAATGAACCAAAAGACGAACACAAGCATGCCCAAACAAAAAATATTCACCAGACATTATAATCTATTAAGCTGTTTATTGCTCTCAAATATAGCATGCTGTTTTCACTTGCACATTAAATATAGGCTGTTTTTAAAGTAGAATATGCCCATGGACATGGTTGCATGAATGTCAAAGTCACATGTGCATTAGTTTACAAAAGGCCAGTCTGAGAGAGAAAATGTGACGCTTTCTTGCAGGGTTGGATTAACTGCACTCCTCACAAATTCCCTCTCACACACACACAGAGACACTCCCGCTTGCGTAAACCATCTGCTGACTGTTATATAAGAGCTCCACGTGCCTCGAGTTCAGGCTACTCTTCTCCAGCAAACAAATCATCGTGTCAGGAATGGACAGATTTGCCCTGCCCTCAAATTCTTTGTTATTCATCTTGACTAAGAATAAATGTTGAGGTGCCATCAAGCATCACATCACATTGTAATGGTTCTCTGTCCTAAAACTATCATACCTAAAATAAAATGTGACAACCTGCCTAACATTGATTAACTGGCCTCAGGAGTGAGTTATTTCGTGAAAGGAAGGATGCTGCATTGTTGAAGTTCTCCACTAATATCTGACCCACAAACACATGCCTTTCAAGGTGTTTGTGATAGATTTCATTATTCAGAAAGTTTCATAGACGTTCCGTTTCAAAGTTCTTGTGCTGACGTACAGAGCTTTAAATGGCCAGGCTCCTGTGGATCTTTGTCAGCTTTTAACCAAATACTCTGCTGCTCGTGGCCTTCGTTCCCAGTCACAGAACCTCTTGGATATTCCACGTACGTGGCTGAAAACTAAAGGGGACAGGGCCTTTCAGTCTGTGGCCCCCAGGCTGTGGAACAGTTTGCCCCTGCATCTTCGTTCTGCTGACTCTGTTGAGGTTTTTTAAAAAGCAAATGAAAACACTTTTATTCTCCCAGGCGTTTATGTCATGATTTTATTGTGCTTTTTGAAATTTTTATGCTTGTTTTATTCTTTGTATAGTTTAGCGCTAATTTTTATTGTACAATTCTTTGTGATTTAATGCCTGTGATAAGTGTTCTATAAATAAACTTTACTTACTTACTTATATGGAGCAAATGGTAAAAATATTTTAGAGTGTATAGATTACTATGAGTATAGTATTCTACTACTTTTTTGGGCTTTTCCCTCTTCAGGGGTCGCCACAGTGAGTCATCCTCCTCCATGTCACTCTGTCTTCTGCACCCTCTGTCCTCACTCCAACTACCTCCATGTCCTCTCTGCATCCATATATCTCTCCTTAGGCCTTCCTGTTTGTCAATTTCCTGGCAGCTGAATTTCTAACATCTGTCTGCCAATATACCAACTGTACCTCCTCTGGACATGTCCAAACCATCTCTGTCTGGCGCCTCTAACATTTTATCTCCCTGTTGTTCAACCTGTATGTACCTCTAATGATCTCATTCCTAATCTTATCCATCCTTGTCATTCCTGAGGAGAACCTCAACATCTTCATTTCTGCCACTTTTAGTTATTTATTCTTTTTTGTCCATGTGGTCCCAAACCATACAACATACAGTAACTGGTCACACCACTGTCTTGTTAACTTTTCGTTTGACCTTTGATGCCACCCTTTTGTCACAAATCACTGCTGAAACTTTTCTCCATCCACTCCATCTTGCCTGGACTCTTCTTTTTTTTTTCTACTGCTTTACAACATTCCTCATTTTCGTGGACAGTGGACCCCAAGTAATTGAAGTCCTGCACCTTTGTGACCGCTGCTCCTTGTAGCCTCACTGTTCCACCAGCCTCCTCTCATTCACATAAGTATTCTGTCTTACGACGGCTGACTTTTATTCCTCTTCTTTCAAGTGCATACCTCCAACTCTCTAAATTCTCTTCCAGCTGTTCCCTGTTCTCACCACAAATCACATCATCCGCAAACATCATAGTCCTTGGGGATTTTTTCCTGACCTCATCTGCTAGTCGGTCCATCACCAGAGCAAACAAGAAGGGGCTCAGAGCCGATCCTTGATATAGTCCCACCTCTAATTTGAAGCTATATGGGATAGAGGCAGGGTAGCCAACTCGGGACCCGAAAGTCCCAGGTTCAATCCCCAGTCATTGCACATCTTGTAGTGTCTCTGAGCAGCACACTTTATCCCCAATTGCTCCCTGGGTGCTTTCAATAGCTGCCCACTGCACCACATGAGGGTGGATGGGTTAAACGCAGAGTAACAATTTTGCCATTGTATGGGAATATACAATGATGACAACACATAACTTGTTGTTGTTGTTGTTGTTGTTGTTGTTGTTGTTGTTGTCTGTCACACTTACAGCACACTTCCACCACTGTCCTGCTGTCCTCATACATGTCCTGTACCAGTTTCACATACTTCTCTGCAATTCCAGATTTTCTCATGCAATACCACACCTCCTCCCTCAGCACCCTGTCACATGCTTTTTGTAAATCCACAAAGACACAATGAAGTTTCTGACCCTTTCTGTACTTTTATATCAGAATCCTCAAAGCAAAGATGACATCTGTGGGGCTTATTTTCAGCATGAAACCATACTGCTGCTCACATATTGCACCTCTTATCTAAGTCTAGTTTCCACAATTGTCTTCCAGATCGTCATTGTGTGGCTCATTAACTTACATTAATTCCCCTATAGTTGCTACAACTCTGCACATCTCTCTTGTTCTTAAAAATAAGCACCAGTACACGTCTTCATTCCTCAGGTATTTTCTCGCCCTCAAATATGCCATTGAACAATTGAGTCAAAAACCTCACTGCCATCTCTTCTAGACATTTGTTAGAACATAATCATTCCTATATTTCACAAGTCTAACCTGTTGCAAATCCTGTGTTCAACATAATGGTACTTCTTCCAGCTATATGTCAACAACGGTGTACCAAAAGGTTCAGTCTTAGGACCCACCCTCTTCACAATCTACATAAGTAATGTAGGTCAGTTCATTCCTGATGCATCCTTACATTTCTCAGAGTCAGAGTCAGAGTTTCTTTATTGTCATTCGCACCTCATGTGGTACATGTGGTGGAGCGAAATTATGTAC